ATAGTTTGTTGCCATCTCAATGCCACAACGACCTCATATTTGTTTTACCACCCTATGTGGCACGCCAAAACGTTAAGCTACATAAGAGTAAAAAAGAAAATGCAAAAGCAAGAAGTAAAAAAAAACCGTTGTTATCGCGATTTGACTTCAATGTCAATATAAATTGTTTCTCAGACATTTTAATAAGTTGCCATTTTGCTCACAAATACCTGTTTTTTTTTAAGAAAATCCCTATTTATAGTGTGAGTTTTCCCTTTAGTTTAAACAGTTTTTTTAAGTTTATGCACAATTTTTTTATTTTAGTAATTGGACATATGGTATGTTAGGCGAATTAAAATAATTATTGGTTGTGGGGGGAATCCCTTGACTTTTGCATTTAATCAGTAATTAAAGCAGTAATGAAATGTTTTTCCAGTCACGTTATAAAATGTATTTACAAATGTAAATATGTATGTTTATATAAATATTTCAAACCCTCTATTGCGCTCTATTTAAATTGTTATTGTATAATTTAGAAGCTTGAACTCTTTAGTTTTTTTATTTATTGTTATTATTGGAATCCTTGGAATATTTTACAATAATTTAAAACATGTCATGATAGTTCGGCAATTAGCCAAGAAAAAAATTTAGACTATTTAAAGTTAACTGTAAAATAAACTTTGGAATGTGGATATTTTAAACTAACTTTACTATTTAAATACTAGTTTTTATACCCTACAGTTATTTATATTTATCAGTATAGTTTTTTTGGAATAATCTAATCTAGTTTTTTTTTACAAAACATTTACTTAATAATGTGCATTGATAAATATATGAATATTATAAAATCAAACAATTATCTACAATACTATGTAGTATTTAGATTCGTCAACTAAAAAAAAAGTTCTTATAAATATAATAAATGTGTCATATTTAAAAATATTTTATAAAGAAAAACTGTTTATACATTTACTTAATGAATAATATTAAAAATATCTTTAAAATTTTGTATATTTAGAAAGAACGCTGTAATAGTAATTAAATTCGTTTAGCAGCATCTTCCTTCATATAGTATTATAATTAAAATATTTAATGTTATTATAACTTTGCGTTTAATCTTATCAAGACAAAGTAAATATCTATGAGGTTTTCAATAACTTAATCATAATAAAGCTTTGCTTAATAAAAAGTAAACAAATGCTAAAAAAGGTGACAAAAATCGTCAATATATTTGCTAGTTATTCATTCCATCTTTTCAGTGCTAATTTTTGAAATAATTAAAAATGTAAATAAAAATATTTAAATTAAAAAGGTCGAATTAGATTGGAGAGTTTTCATTTTACATATGAAATTGGATCAATATTCAAAGTACCCGAAAAAATTGAGATTTTGAAGTAATGTTATAATGAAATCTAAAATAAGCAAACATTTTATATAGGTTTTAACATTAACAATCACAAATAACTTTAATGCTAGAACCTAACAGTTAAGATACAGCGGATAAGTGAAATATAATAATCTAGTAACAACTGCAAAACCATAGTTGAGCTGCATTGCTGCTCATTCTCCGTATTACATTTTGGAGCAAGATATCCAAAAGTTTGCAAAATCAATAATATATTGCTTTGGATTAGAATCTAAACTAAAGTTTAGCACATCAGCGTAGTCTTTTTACCAAGACTGCGATCATTATTTTTCTTTTCCAGGAGAGCATAGGATTCTGCAATTTTAGTTATTAATTTAAGAACAATGGTAATGAAAGAGCTAGGCAAATAGGGGCGCTCTTTGGCATTCCCCAAGAATAAGCAAAAGATAAATTTGACTCTTAGATGAGATGTGAATTAGCTCGCCATTGGGAAGCAATACCAGGACTCAGACAGACAAAACATTTTATAACACTTTCAAAGGGAAAATTCCAAAAGCTACGAGCGCTCAATAAAAGTGATGTCAGAATGCTAACGGGATTACTTACTGGACATTGTGGTCTTAGATACCATCAATTCACTCTAGGTAATTCTATAACAAATCTATGCAGATTCTGTGGCCTACAAGAGGAAACCTCAGAGCATATTTTATGCAACTGCCCATTATTAGGGTCCCACAGAGCTAAAAACTTGAGCGCTGCCCTACTAACCCAAAACGACATCTTCAATCTCTTACCAACTAAACCAGTTACCAGTTACCTTCAAACTGTTTATAGTTAAGTGGCTTTTTGATGCTGTGACTTTTACTGGAATAAGTATTGATATCAATATATATGCTAATATAAAGGACCATTTGAAAAACTTTTACAGTTTTCACAAACAGTTGTAAGTAAGTGTTGAAGTACGACTTAATAATTAGAACAATTGGGGATAAAGAGTTGAAATTTTAAGGGCATTTACGCAAATGATTATAAAAGGAGTCCGCATGAAAACATTTGATAGTAACACACATATATGTTCGTGGTAGATGAAAGTAGCAACGATATCCAAGAAACTTATAGAACTTAACAAGCGCTGTCTAAGGATTCAGACTGGGATCTTAACGGGGCATTGCTCAAACAGGGCTTTTGTCAATAGGTGGGACAGTAATATACCGGACGATTGCAAATATGCGAAGATGCAGAGCAACTAGAGACGATTAAGCACACTATTTGCCACTGTCCTAGAATACAGAAGCAGTAGAAGTAGCAGGAAAATAGTTTTCGTGAGGAACTGGTGGAAATTACAAAGTCACCTAGGTTTTATGAGGGGAATTAGTCATTTCTTCGAATGGGTTTTATACGGAGAATAAGATTCTCTAACACTTCTTTCTTTAGGGAATTGATTAGGGAAAACTTTTTGTTTGAAATCGACATCTTTCCTCTACTCTCTTCTTTTAGAGAAACAAAGCTATAGAAAAAGGTACATACATAAAACCTTTTTCTATAGCTTTGTCTATTTTTAGATCTTCACTAACTTCAAAGGCAATCACAATGGACCTGGTATGCGAATGGATTGACAGCTTTTTATGGTGCATAACATTTCTTAACTTCACCATCCCTTATTATAACTGTAAAAACGAAATGGAGAGTGTACATATTCTGTTTTGATATCGAAATATGTTTCGTTATCCCCGTAGAAACTGTCACAACTAGTTAGATCTATCGACTGTAAGACCTGAACGCAAACTATTATTTTTGAAGAGTGATTGTTGTGCTACATTTTCAATTTCATCATTCCCAATTTATTTTTTTAACGATAATCTTTATTTAATCTTCTCAAAGCCTTCATAATGATATCCCTAAGGAAACTAACAGGACTATGACAAAATCGTTCCAACTTCAAGGCAAACAAAATGATCCAATAAAAATCTTATTAATGTTAATAAAATTCTGAGAATGTATCATTTCATAAATGAGTAACCTGTTGTAAATATCCTGTTTAATAAGTCCTCTGGATTACTATCAGTTACAGACTCTATCAGTCAAACAATTAGCCACATTATAGGTATAAAGCCTAATATTTAAATTTCTTAGGTCAAAAAACCTATGACGCTATACTTCTGGTTCTGCAGCATTAGCAGATTTTATACAGTTTAAGCCAATACCATACAGAACACTTTAACTCGAAACCTTTCTGCTATTTCTGAGCCTAGAGCCTATAGACACAACAGGAGAGAACGACATACTCCACAGTTTACATCTATTGATATTTGAAGTTTCAAATACTACCTATGTATATCAAACTATTAGTTAATTTGACCAATGTTTCTAGGCATTTATATTTTTTTGCAGCCCCACTGTTCACTCCAAGTTGAGTGCTTGCTACATGTTGCAATATGTTACAACTTAAAACGTTTGATATTTTAAAAGCGTACTTAACACAAAAACAAAAGAAACTCACTATTTTCTCCTTATAAAAATAACAATAAAAAATCCGATTAATGATTGAAAGAAAAGCGAAAACAATATTTTTCTTGCAAAAGTAGTAAAGAAAAAAAAAAGAAAACATGTTAAAATGACAAGAAACCGAGATAAAGAAATACAAAAAAATGAAATATCAATAAAACAAAAACATAAGTCGTGGTATTAACGATTTTTTATGGAATTTTAATCATGGTTAGTAAAATAAACCAGATAAGAACTTTCTTCTATTTTAAGAAAATGAACTATTTGGTAATTGAAACACATACACATCAAAAGCAGTAGAAATTGAATATAACAAAAATTAAAATCTGTTAGATACTTTAAGGAACAAAGGGATATTAATAAAGTGTTTATGTGTTTTTGCCCAAAAAAATAAGAAGTTTTATTAAATAAAATGTAAATGGTTTAAATTTCTCTTTTTTAATTGCTAATGCCCTTACAATTTCATTACAAAATGTAATTACTGCTTTTCAATTGACCAGATATTGGAAACTAATTTTAAATTGTAGATACCTACATAATGGTTTTAAAAAGCAAAACTATCTTTTCATATTTGCCATGAATTAAAACTTATTTTTGCAGCTGCATTTGGTAATTTTTTTTTTGTGTTAAAAAGGAAGATACTTTTAGCCAGGAAGCATCTTGCATGTTGTGGAATTTTCGATAAAAATCAACAGTGGATACAAATTGAACCCTTTTTTTAAATGTTTTATTTTTCAACGTCGTTTTTTCCATTTCATTATTTTTCGTTTTTTTTTTTTTCATGTGTATGGATGGGCACAAATGCCAAAGAAAAAAATCAATTAACGGTTACAGCGCTGTTGGCTTTATTTACGCCCGCCGCCCTTTTTCGCTTCTCAAACACTTACTGCTTCTTCTTCTTCTTCTGCCATTTCTTTCAATATTTTACTCACACAAACAACAACAATTTTAAAAACATCTGCCTCTGCGCTTCTTTGCAGTCGCAGAAAAGTATACTCAATGGCAGAGCATTTTTACAGCTCTGCCAGCCAAGTTTTTTTCTTTATGTTCTTTGATTCATCATTTTCACAAAAAAGTTCTTTTATTTTTTCTCATGTTAATTTTTTTCTGTTTTTTTTGGTATTCATTTTAGCATTTTATTTAAACTTACGATAATTTTCTTTTATCCATTCCACTCATTTTGATTTTATTTGTATAATAATTTTATTTTTTCACACTTTTCTGTGGATTTTATTTAATTTTTCTAAGCAAAATTCTTCCACAAAAAAACTTCTTTAAATTCCTTCGGCTTCTTTACACAATTTGCGAAAAAATACTACCACAACCAAAGACCTGCGCCGACTGACATTAAAGACAACGGCGTCTGTCACTCAAAAATTTCGTCGGCGTCTTAATATCGACTTTAAGCCGGCTAAGTTTTCAGCTGTATTTTGAATAAATTCATGAAATATTGAAAATATAAATAACTATGTAATGAGAATATTAATTAAAACATTTTTAATATTAAATACGCCGAAAAACAATAATTATTGATTACATTGAAGACAAGTGATACGTTTATATATGTTTCATAACTGCACACTCGGGTAATTCTACCTTTACTGTTACAGACAGACATAGTTACAGTTACAAATGGACATAATAACAATATCAGTCCAAAGTCTATTATATTTTTATTTCAAAAATTCTAAAAGCAAAATGAAATGAAAATCAAAAGTTTTTTCATTTGTAGACCCAGAAACATTTTATTTTTAATATAAACATTGAAAAATAAGTCAAAAAGTGAACAAAGTCGAAAAATCTAAGGTAGTAAATGGGCAGTTTTGACTATGTCCGTTTGTACAAAAAAACTGTTTTTAATAATTTGTAATGCTACAAATATTTTAACTGAATTTTCCAAGTTAGATTTGATTGAAATTTAGTACTCATAAAGATACCTGATGACAATGCAATGTTAAATTCCCAGTTGCCGCCTCAACGCGTTTTGTGTACTACCATCTTTATTGTTTTATGACGTTCATATGTATCTTCGATTAAAACTTTATTTTCATTAGTAATGTACTGTGTTATCTGCACTGCATTATCTGCTAAAGTTCATTCGTATTTTACAGCGTTGTAATAATGTTAATTACACTGTAAACAGCGTCTCTGTTTTAGTATGATTACAGTTTGTAGGCAGAGACCTACGCCGATTAAGCTTAAAACCGACTAAACCTAGATGCCGGTAAAAGTTCAACGACGCCACATTTTGTATAATCACTAAATACAGGCCACTCGTGGTATAACAAACGTTATGTGTCTAGCTCTTTGGTAAAATCAAAAATTCGTTGATTATACTATTTCAAAATCAAACAAAAGTTGGTTTTTGACTTTTTAAATGTTAAAATTAACTTTGATTTTAAGCCGTCGCTAAAATTTTAGTATTAGCTGCCTTCTTTAATGTTTATCGGCGCAGGACATTGTAGTTTAAAAACCAAACAGCTGTTTTTTGTTTATGCGTGAAAAATGCAGCAAATATAACAAACGCAAAAAACATAAAAAATTAGCACAAACTAAACTATAAACTTCAAGAATTGCTAAACAATTATGTGCATTAATACACAACAAGTACAACAACATGTAACACCCTCCAGGAAACTATGTAAAGAGGGAAGATTAAGTTTGATGTGCTACCTGGGAACAATTGCATTGGTATTAACGCCTTCAGTGCCGCAAATCTATTATGGAATTGTACCAAAAGTATGGGGAGCACAATTATGGGGACCAGTATTATATTTTGCTTTAATTAGTATGATCATACGTTTCGTCTTAAGGAATACAGAATATCAAGTAAGTTATCCTTCACTAT